CAGAGTTTTTTCAATAATTTTACTGATAACGGGTAAGATTGAGATGGGTCTGTAATTACCAGGCAAATAGGGTGAACCTTTTTTAAAAATAGGAGTAATTTTGGCTATTTTTAGTTGGTCGGGGAACACACCAGACATAAAGGATTGATTTATAATGTGACAAAGAGGTATTTTAATGAAAGGGGCAGCATCTCTTAGAAGACGGGAATAATTATAGTCATGGCCACAAGATTTACGCGGGTCTAATAATTTTAGATCAGATTCTATTTCATGGATGGTAACTGGTTGGAGAAAGAAGGAATTCAATCATTGTCGTAAACTGGCGATATTTCCATATACACAGTCAGAACTTGTTGTTCACACTTTTTTGTTTCACTATACCGGCACATGTATTTACATATACATGCACCAAGTTTTCAAGAACACATATTGAAGAAAAGCCGCACCGCCTAGCTCATCTTCGCTAGCCAAGGTCTAAGTTTATTCAGCCAAGCCTCTATCGTGTAGAGGCCTATAGGTCGAAGACACGGGACCGTGCGATTCGGACGATGCGTCTAGCTATTCCTTATGTGTTTCAAAAAAGTTTGTCGATCCCTATCAAAATTAGCGAAATTGTGTTTGTCATTTGGATTTCTTGTTTAATTCGATAAATACGAAAATAAAATGTTTTGCTGATCATTTAACAGAATTTTGCTGAAGGGTGAATTTACATAATCTGGAATAAATAGAATAGAAACATTCAAAAAATAAACAGAGGCGCAGCCGATATGTTTATTTCCTATCCGGGTTTCTTTGCTACTGTATTTAGAGTCACAAGTGAACACACCTGTTTTGCGAAGTCTTGTAAGTTTGGGGACATAAGCCTCGTTCGTTCTCACTAGCGAACTCGATCTGGATCGAGATTGATTTAAATTTCGCCACGTGCCGAAATATATGCAAGAACGGCCGGAGGCGAGTCTGCACGTGCCTAGTTTTAGAAAGCCCGGATTCAACTGGGTACGTACCGACGTCTGTGTGTTGAAACGTATTTATTTTTACCTCTATGAGCAAATGTATGGTGATCGAAATTACTGGTATACTTGTATAAGTATGTTTTTCAATTTTACGGTCATATCCAGCACCACCTGTCCCAGAAAGCGTGATATCACCACTGATGTTGACAGAGCTAATATGTTGTAATAATTACGCTACTAGTATTTTCACCCACACAAAAAGTCGACTGTTTTAGCAATGTTTAGTATTGGAAGTTGTTAACTTCCAAAACGATACCATGTTCATGAAAATATCTGTTCTACTTCCTGTTTGGGAAAGTTGTTGGGCTGTACTAGTATGTTACTTCAGAACTTTGAGCCTGAGGAATGAGGACGTGTCCCCCCCCCCCAACACCAAAGATTACTAATACCTCTTTTTAATAATAATAATAATAATAATAATAATAATAATAATAATAATAATAATAATAATAATAATAATAATAATAATAATAACTTTATTGTCAACCTATCACCATTGAGATCTGGACTAACATACAATAAAGATTAAATGATATGATTTGGCCAATGGTAGTAAACTTTGAAGGTTACTGTTACGGTCACTCTATAGAGAGGGACTGTGATTACGGGCATGACTTGACTTGATTCAAGTGTGTAGAGAACATAGGCAACATTTATGTAAGAAGATTCAAGCAATTCAAACGATAGAAGTCAAACTTTATTTACCACGAAGCCCTAAAATGAAACATAAAAATAGAAATGTGGAAAGATAAAATGAAATTATAATTGAACATTTGTGAATAGTAAATGGAATTGAAAAAAATTTAAATGGCAGTTTAAA